ATTGTCCTAGTTTTCTTGATTTATTAATAAACTTGGGTTCTGAGCGAACCATATTTCTTGTGAAACACTGTGTGACATTGTTTAAAGGATTCTTGGTGAATCTCTTCTTGAATATTTCTTTATTATAAACCATTTTTTTAAATTCTTTCTTTAGAAATTGTCCTTTTAAAAGCAATTCCACTTGGACACACTGGTCAAATATAAATTTGATCACAGTACAATGACAAGTTAGTCGCTTTGTGAAAGTTTGTAAAATATTTAGGTATTTCTCAATATCTAAATAAAGACATGCCATTGTGGGTTAAAAATATATATATATATATTTAATATATTTATAAACTTTAATTAGTACTTCTTTATTAAAAAGTAATTTAAAATAAAATAATAAATTATACTGTATTAGACATGTTATTTGTGTCAATATATATATACAGTATATGTTTCTTAAATTATTTAATTATTTAATTAGTATAAATTTAATTTTTATTGTTTTTTAACTGTACATAAAGAATAATTAACTTTATAATAACAAAAAGTCCATTCACGACAATCGCAAATCGGGGAATGTTTGTAATGGACAGAAAGGAACAAATAAAACTTATTACTAAGATCTATCGGTTCTATTACCCTCAAAGCCGCGGTTATTGCGTATTCTGTGTACCTTGACCATTCGTTGTTGATACATCATTAATTTCAGGCGACAATTGATCTTCCGAAAAGAAGGTATTGAACTCGTCGCCACCCATACATCCAAATAATTCTTGCATTATCTTCCCAAGTTTTTCTAATTCCCTTATAACATCTTCTATTACCAGCGCGTAAGCGTAATATACCATATACCGTTCGTCATTTCCTTCAACAACCCTATGTTTGACGACAGGAAGATCACGAATCTTCTTAACTAATCTTCGTCTTGCTTTTTCGGCCGGTGGTAAATATGGTGGCAATGGTGTTTTGAGCCTTAACGCTGCTGCAAGTATATAAAAGTACAATAACACATTTCCTACTAATTCTTTTCTTTCATTTGTAATCGGAAGAATGAAATCCCTTCGAATCAACATATACCAATCCTCTCTTGTGACTGAAATTCTAATAGAAAGTAATTTATCCAAAATATTCTGACATCCACCTAATATTTCACGATAAGGTTTTGTCGGAAAAGGACCTTTCATACGAGGTTCATTTGGTGTCTGCGCGAGAAGATCATAGAGCTTAAGCAATGAAACTTGAAGGAACAGTTCCATATCCATAAATTCTTTCGTTGATTTAGAGAGGTTGTGAGAGAGCATTATGGTTACGTTATGATGGTCCATGTTTCCATTCTGACAGTTCTCCTGAACTCCAGGCGGATTGGAATATACGGCAACCAACTTTTTATACAACCAACTGATGTTTATAATTAGTTGACTTAGCCCTTTTCTGAGTTCGACGCGTGCTTCGTATGGCCACCAGTAATTGGTGACAAGAACCCCCCAGACGACACCGGTACCTACGGCAATAAATCGGGTACGCGCAATGTCCGAGACATCCACCGGTGGTTCCAGGTCGCGTATGTTATATTTATATAATGCGACCAGATTGTATGTCAATAGGATGAATGTCCCAATGCGATTGTATTTGGTATAAAGAATAAGTTGGAAACAAGATAGAGCGATAACAAAGCCGGATACAGAGAGGACAACTGGATTATCCGGAAAGAATGTATATATGACCCAGGCGAGATACGATCCAAATAATGTTCCGAGTATACGATAAATGGCCACTAAATTGGTTCCGCCAACCGTAGGTACCATCACGACCATCATCTAAGTAACGATTGTGTGAGCACGATATTAAATAAAAATGCTTTGGGTGAAAAGAGAATGATAAATACCGTAATGCAAGTCCATTCTCCTCTATATTCATAATATGTGGGTCTTGTTGCATCAAAGAATGCAGGGCTTACTAGTACGATAGCACTGATAGCCGCTTTGAAAGCATATTTGACTTGAAATTGTCGAAACCAAGAAAGAGATTTCCAAATATTCATTGTAATCTTTTGCCATAATGTTTTGGGTTTCGGTGTTTGAACGGTATCGAAGAGGTTGTTGGTGTTTTCAGGGAACTTATGTTTCACCTTCTCGAAATAATTTTTGTGATCAAATTCAATGGAATTCTCACGCGTAAAACAACTGAAGAAAAGCCAAAATTGCCACCATTTCCGCTTTGCTTTTCTCTCTTGTTCTATTTCATCGATTCTCGATATCATTCCCACCAAATCAACGAGATCTATTAGTTCTTTGGCAAATTCTTGTAGATTAAATACAAAAAAATATATTAGAAATATTTCTTCGTTCGGTCGACCATCAAAATTGTCCGCCGAATTTTCCTTATACAGTTTGTTGAGAGCACGTGTTTGAGATTCTTTGAATAATTTAAGTGCGGATTGAAGATTTTGGTGAAGTAGTGAGAAGGAAACTGATGTACTGTGAAATGTATCCTGTTGCTTAAATTGATCTTGTAGGCGTGATATCGTTCGTTTACAAGTGTAGGCGAGCGATTTCATCGGGGGACCAACATAATGAATGAATTCGATTAAGATCCTATAGCTCCTAAGCTCATCGTAAGAATCATCATCGGCGCTCAAACCCCTATCCTGTTCATCCACCATGTCTTTATTTGATTCTTTATTTTCCTCTTGATCTTTAATTATCTCCCATTGGAGTCCACAACAACTTCTTAAACCACCCAAATGTTGCGCCAACCTATTTAGGCTGTCGACTGCTTCTTTGTATAGTTTGAGTTGGCTTTTGATACTTCCATTGTGAACTTCAAGGGCTGCTTGCTTTAAAGAATCCTGAAGTGATGTAAAAGATGCGCGATATGAAGCAATTGCTGACTGCACTGATTTGTCGGTGTAACGGATATCGTCGATTAAGAATGTTTTAGTGAGAAGTATTAGCAAGAGACGAAATGATCCAAGAGTGTCTGTGATTTCTTTTCTATTGATATAATCAGTGATTTTCACATAAGTAATCACGAAAATTTTCAGATTCAAAAGGATAAAAATAAGTTTTGGTTTACCTCAATTTCTTGCTAGCGCTGACGGGCCATACAAGCACTGACACCAAGAAACTGATGCATATTCCAATAATAATTATCTTTGACACCTGTATGAGTCTTGTTGTAATCTCTCCTCCGGGCTGAGCGCCTTCCCTGGTCAAGGTGACAAATATTATTATATTTGCAAGGGAACAGGCTATCAAAAATGGACGAATATTAATATGCTGCGTGCACGATATATAACAGAAATCGGAGAGCGGATGCTTACCACTGTTGAAAGTCGGTTTGTTTAACTTTGCTCTACTCAAGGCAACCAAGAACATGTTCCCCCCACACCACAAAAAAACAGTTGTTATGTAATCCAAATATGGCATATCGTTGCTATAAAAAAAATTTGCCGTTTTCATACTTCCGTAACCAACCAACATGCCATATATACCCCCTAGAATTGCGTATAATACAGCTTCGTACATTCCGCCCAATGTTTTTGCGGGGTTGAAGAACACTACAACAGCGCCAACAAGATGCGAAATTTGTAGTTCAGCAAGTCCAAACGTATCAACCAAAAAAGGAATGAATGTGAATAATGACGCGAGAAAATATGAAAGAGCACATTTGATAATATTTTTGCGTTTTGGAGTAAGTGTATTTTGCACCCATGATTTTATGCGGTTATGATACGAAGAAAACGAATTTTCATAACGAGGATGGTCTCCCGCTGCGTCATCGGTGTCAGATTCTTCGTCATCAAAATTATCATGGTTGCGGTTTTCGAGCAAGGGAGTACGTTCTGATGCCACGTGAGTATTTTGCCTACGTTCGCCGGAAACAAAAGGTTTAATTATCCAACACGCGATAAAAATGTTCCCAAAATTTAGATGTCTGACCTTGAGTATTCAGAGGACAAAGAGATTCTTCTTTTTTGTAACGAACCATCATCCACGATCACGTTGAAGAAACCTTCTTCCGTTGGTGAAAACATGGATGTCGGAACGCCATCATCAACATAATAAGATTGGGGTGATCCAATCACCAAACTATCGTTAAACTGTCTTAATGTATTCCACGGAACCCTTTCACTTGAATAAGAGGCAGAATAAGATCCTGGAATGTGATGACGACTGCGCGGAAATCTTCGAGCAGATGGACTAAGAGGAATCATAGTAAATGGTCGCGTTGGAGTCCTCCGAGTTGATTGCGACGAAGGTTCACCATTGTTGTCCCGATCTTCCTCGACGATTGGATCGAGAATGGTATCACCACCACCGCTTCTACTATAAGATTGATCTACATCGTGCTCATCATATTGATCGTATGCGGATCCAAAACTCTGAAATGCTTCTTCGTGTCTTGGTACTGGAAAGCTAGAATAACCTGTCGATTATCCAATGCTGACGAATTTTGTAGAGGAGCAACGACACATGAAAAACAAAGAGTACCTGATACTTCGCCTTGATGGTACATTGATTGATGCTGTAGAATTTTCTGTGACCGAATCACTTCCTTTTTTGTCACCGGTATTTGATGGTGAGCTCATCCTGAACAATAACTTTTTTTTTTAAAAAAAAAAAAAAAAGAAAAATATCTATTAAACGTTTTTCATTAATGCCAACGAATGTTGAGAAAAATTTTTAAGATATCTACGGGACATTATACATACATACATACATATATATACATATGAATCCGATTAATACGTGTGCGTACACATGCGTGAAAACGTATCGATAACATTCTGTTCGTGCGTCACGTATTTTCAACTCCCTTAGAAATGGAAGTTAATAAAATCATTTTTGTCGATGTGGGAGAAATCGTCAAATCCCTTGCCTACTTATGGAATATTGCATTATCGTTATCACTCTTCATTGCATCATTACAGATTACTATTGTTGGTTGGATTTAGTCAAGTATGACTTGATAACTGATATTACCTATTATTCCCTGCATATCACGGTGATCGAGTCTTCATCTGTGATACCCGGAGAATCACATACATTCAGCCCTTTTAACCACCATCTGAACAAATTTGTTAAATTTAATAGATGTATATGGATTTCTCGATTTTCGATCGTCCTTCCCCAAAAGTTATGGCGGTTACGTAATTCTACATCTTTCATCTTATTTGATCTTCTTTTTGGATTTGATATTAGTGTTTTATTTCAGATTTACAGGAAACCTTCTTGAATGGATCTCTTCAAATGTCCTCACTATATTTTTACTCTCCAAGCGAATCCCCAGGTTTGATTTTAAGTTATAAAAGATTTAATGAACCTATTTTTATTTAGATATCTTTTCTAAATGAACCCTTCTTTTATTATTATATTATTATTACTTCGAGAATTATACTGTATATTTAAAACCTTTTTTATTATTATTTAACTTGTAGTCGAACCAAAGATTAGTTTATTAATTATTTGAAGTCTCTAAAAATGATATATCATTTCATAAAATATTTGAGCTCAAACTTGAACTGAATCAGATTAGATCATTTAAACAAGCGTAAAAGTCTGGACTATGCTTCAGGATTAGTTATTTAAGTTTTACTTTTTTAAAAAATTATATTTTCTATAAAAAATAGTTTTTTATTTAAAAAAATAATTTTTTATTAAAGAAAATTTATTTTTTATAGAGTTTATCTTTAAATAGCATAAAGCCTGGGCTATGCTTCAGGATTAGTTATTTGAGTTTAAAATTTCAAATTGTGTTTAATTTTTATATTATCTATAAAAAATAGTTTTTTATTTAAAAAATATATATATTTAATATACAGTTGCTTCCAAAAGTTTGAGTTTACTTATTATGTTTTTATTATAAATTTCAATATTGACAATTTTTAAATCCTTAATTATACAAACAAAAATTATAAAATTTATATACAGTATATCATATTTTAATGTCATTTTTATTTATTATATTTTT